CTTTACTGGGAATGACTAGTACCCGCGGACTAGAGTGTCATACTAGGATTCAGGAGACCTGGGTTCAGATCCCCACTGCCACAAAGCTCTCCGGTTGACGGGCGTAACCCATATCACGAGATTGTATTGAGGCGAGAACTATGTACGACTGGCCTGAGCAACTTGGAGGAAGGACACACACACAAAAATTCCTCTCATTCCCCGCATCCACTCATACCTGGAGCAATGCAGTGTGTGTATGTGGATGGGTCTTTTGAGGTAGAGATCATGTGGCCCCAGAGCTTGGTAGGGGAGGAGGGAGAAAATGTGCATATTTTATTGATCGTTTGCATATTTTGTTGCAGTCCAGGCTGAATTTCTGGTGGGTTATTTTACCTTAAAAGGAAAGTGAATACTGGGTATGTTAACACTCTGCCCCAAAGCAAGGCTCCTTTAAAACTGCCTAGGCTAAGTGGTCTCCCTCCCACACACACTCCTTTTTTCTTCCCTTCCTTTCCCTTCACTGCAGCGGTCTTATGGCGCCCCTGATAGCCTCATGCTGGCTGCCTGTTTGATTACATCATTCTTCTTTACCCTATGACATCACCACTCCTGTAGCAGTAAGTGAGATGTAAGTGATGTCACCAGCAATGGAAGGCATTAGGGATTCCATCTCCCTGCCCCTCCCCATATGCTGATCAGACGAAGCCCTTCACCCCCTTCAGTCCGCTCTCTGGTGCCACGGTGGTGGTGGGGGGTGCCACTAGGGGAAGCAGAGGGCAGTATGTGATTGGAGGCTTTATTACCTCTAGGGCTTGCAAGGTCCTTGAAGGGGGTCAGTCTGTTTTCTGTCTGCACCCAGAAGGTGCAGTCCTACACTATGGAAGTCCCGAGTATAGGATCCTTGGGACAAAACTTGGGGGTGGTTGGGGCGGATGTCACACAACGTGCTCTTTTCTGGCAGGGCAAAGGTGAGGTTTCCTCATGGAGGGAAGAATTGTCTGATGCAAGATGGCTTGTGCTGAGTTTATAGGGCACAAAGCAAAGGGCTTTAATCCAAGCAAGAGGTCAACACTGTGCCCTTCCAGACACCGTCCCCACAGGATTCCACCCATGCCAAGCTACTATATATGTCCCCTTGTCCCCTCTCCACCCGCCAGCCCCTCTGTCCTCCCTGAGAACCCTGAACTTTTTCTCCCCCTTCCCCCCTGTAGCATCATGCAAACAATAAACTCATGGCTGGGAGCCCAGAGTTATAATATGTAGAGGGAGATCCTGGAGTTGCAGGCATCATGTAAAGCGTGTGACATGGGGGTCTTGCAAAGGACACTGTGCAGGGCGGAAGGGGTGGGGGGAGAGAAACTTAAAGCTCCATTTCTGGCTGCAATGCAAGAAGAGTGTTACGGGTGGAGGGGGTCTCTACATCCTTGGACTGAAGCAGCATAACTGGATAACTGGGGGCTAAGCATAGTCTATACCACTAGGAAGGAACTGTGAGCCACTTCTTTCAGTTTTGTTGTTGTTAGCCATTCAGTCCTGTCTGACTTCTTTCAATAGCAAGGGTCAAAGGATGATAAATTGTGTCTTTTGGCATAGTCAGAATGCATTTCCTTCATCTTGTCTCCTTTTAGGTGTTTACACATGACACATGAAGCTGTCTTGTATTGAATTAGGCCATCAGCAGTGTTCCCTCTAAGTTGAGTTAATGGGAGCTAGCTCACAGTTTTTTCGCCTCCGGCTCACACATTTTTGTCTTAGCTCAGGAAGGATGGCTCCAGAGCAAACTAATTTATGCAGCAGCCAAGTCGCTCGCTCACAACTTTAATGCCAGTAGCTCACAAAGTAGAATTTTTGCTCACAGGACTCCACAGTTTAGAGGGTGCATTGGCCATCAGTTCACCAAGGTCAGTATTGTCCACTTATACTGGCAGCAGCTCTCCAGGGTCTCAGGTGGAGGTCTTTCACAATCACCTGGGCCTTTTAACTGGAGATGCCAGGGATTGAACCTGGGACCTTTTGCATGCAAAACAGAGGCTCTTCCATTGAGACACAGACTTTCCCCAGAGTTAGGGGGGGATAGATGTAGGATTACTCCTTGGCCTAGGACCATGTGTATGATACAAATTCAAAAGGTGCAGCCTGGGCATGTCTTGATGGGAAAGTTACACCTGTCGGATCTCTGCCATTTTGTGTGGATGTTGAAGGCCAAGAGCCTTGTCCAGGAAAAAGAGGCAACCTAAGGCAGAGATGTCAGAGGGCTTCCAGAGGGTCAGTGGGTAGAACCCCACCTACCTTTCCTTTTGGAAAGAAATAGAATCCCACCTACCAGCTTACCCACCCCCAAGAATCCCCGTCCCCCTGCTGCCTCCTCCCGCTCTTGCCTGCTTGTGGTCAGATCTCTCACCCCAGGATGAGAGTCCAGCTGTGCCTGCAGGCCGTTCCCAGCTGGCGGAGCAACATCTGTGTTGCGCCTTGCATGGCCTGCATGTTCTGTCCCCCTCCTCCCCCCCAGGCCCGGAGGAAGTCGAGGCCACTGGATTTGCTTGGCCCTGCTCGTTCCCCCTAGGCTGATGGCTTTTGCAGAGGCAGGCCAGCGAGTGCCAGAGGCTGGCTCGGCATGTGGATGAGCAAAGCAAGGAGCAAGAGGGCCTTTGGGGGGCAGGACCCCCAGAAAGTCAGTGTGAATGCTGGCTTGCTTAGCACCCGTGGGGCCTTGGTTGAGCTTGGCTACAAGTGAAGGGATGTCCTTCCTGCCACTGCCTACCATTCCTTGACTGTGTCACTTTTAGTACAGCCCCTGACACATCTTCAGCACTAGTGGGACGCTATTCTAGCAGTAGTCTGTAAACAGAAGCATCAAATGTTTATTGAGCCCAGCAGAGTACTTGGCTGATCCACAGCCCACTTCTGGGGGAAGGGAGGGCCACACATACAGAGACTCTGTTGCACCATCTCCAAGCCTAACCTGAAATCTTTAACTCTCTCTTTCTCTCTCTGTATGTGTGTGCCTCCTTGCACTTCAGCTTCCATGGCTGCAACTTTGGAGAACACCGTGATCTCCGTGTACTTTGAACATAAAGGTAAGGGTTTACTATATGATAAAGAGGTTCCCCACCCCCTTTACTTCTCCATCTTGCAATATTATTTGCTTGACAAGCCCAGGCCAAAATGGCTTCCAAAATCCCCAGCATAGCCCATATCTTTAATCCGATCTGAGCTCCCAGATAAAGGGTTCTTGATACTCCTTGTGAGCCCCAACAGTTTATTCCCTGCAGACAAAATCCTACCTCTACATATCACATTTTTATCCTAACTTTTCTCCAAGAAGCTTGAGGTAAGAAGAAATATGGGGAGAGGAGCTACAACAGCCCTGTGAGGTAGGCGAGGCTTCAAGACTGAACGCAAGTCCTAGAACAACATCACTATACCCCACTAGGGATCAGGGGAATGAGCAATTATGGGGTTGGAACTAACCAACTTCAGCCTCCTCTGGAACGGGGCAGCTCTTGATGAGTCCAGCATGGAGACCAAGGCAAAACCTTGAGGTATACAGCTAAAGGAATCCAACAGAAGGAGGTGGATGAGTGACCTTGGCCCCTGCATGTCTGGGTCCAGCTCAAAGAAGAGAAAATAAACAATCCAGGCTTCCTTCCCTCACCAGTAAACTGGCAACCTCCCACATGTTCAGGTTAAAAGGAACAGACCAAGGGTGTGTGGAGATAGGATGGTGGGAAGCCCACTGCTTAATTTCTAGGACTTCAGTTGGAGCCCAAAGCCTGTTTTCAGCTTTGAGATCCTACCCAGGTACAAGGGAAATTATAAGAGTGCCTCTGAGCCTGCATGGAGGGCCTCTCGCACTGAGTAACGATAGCTAACCTCCATGCACTAGGGATTAGCAGGTATGGACACGTAGTTCGCCTTTGCACCTTTCTCTTTGTTTTTTTAGCAAACATTGATTGACAGTGAGCAGGCATTTTACAACAAAATGAGTGGGGTGGGGGGCAGAGGGAAGATGGGCACAGCAGATTTCCAGAGACTCTGAGACATGGTGTGTAACTAATCCCCACCAGAGCCTCACAGTAGCCCCCTCCCTCACCAGAACCACAGAGATCCCCTGTGGGTCGCTGCATTGCATCTCATTACCCTGTGGTCAGCTACCCACTCCCCATGCTGAGGTTTGGCAGTTCTGGGGTCCCCAGGGACCTTGGCTGCACAGGAAACGCAGCGTGGGATGGCGGGGACTGTAATGCGCTAGGCACAGAAAGGAAGCAGGTGAGACGGGCCACGGAGCAGCAAGGGATCGGTTAGGATAAAAGAGATCACCAAGTGATCTCGGCCCACGGAAACGAGGAGACAAGCTGTGCTTTCCCCGAAACAAAGAGTTCCCTGTCTCACTGGTGGTGTTGCACGCAAATCCATCCTCTGGTGAGATGGCCCAGACCGACAAACCGCTTGCTGGCAACTCCCCTGGCTAGTGTCGTCAGAGAGCTAAGGCAGGGGCAGAAACGTGGCCGGTGGATCTTATCACATTTATAGGTTTATCAGTCATGAGGAGGAGGCGGGAGATAGGGGGACAGAGCCAAGGATACAGGAGGGTGCTCCTTCTCCCGGGTCCTATGTGTGTCCACGCATAGTGGCTACGTGGCCAGCTAACCCCATGGCAGGGACCTCGCTCAGTAGCTCTGTCCTGTCGACTCCCATGGGCTGCATTGGCTCAGTGCCCAGCCCCTCTCACTTTCCCATTCCTGTTCGCTTCCCCCCCTCTCTTGACTGTTCCCGTCCCGACTGTAACGAAAAGCAGATGTGAGCAGTGCAAACCCGGCATGGGGGGGGGGGGAGGGGGCAGCAAAGCAGGAACTGAAGTTGCAGAAAATCCCTTCGTAGGAGCTGGCTGAAGGGGGAGAGATGTACGAAGGGCCAAGGCCAGCCCAGGGGTGAGGGAGCCAGTGGTGGGGCAGGGAGTAGGGGAAACCCAGGATGGGGAAGGCTGGTGGGGGGAGCATGGAGCTGGGGCCCAGAGCTGCCAGGCAGGAAGTCAGGGGGGAGTGAGCAAGCCAGCTCTGGGAAGTTTGCAAAGCTGTCAGAGTGTGTGGAGAGAGCGACCGTGCAAAGCCCTCTCCGCCTGCCTGGCGACCGGCGAAGACTTCAGGGAAAAGGAAAAGAGGGTTCTTGCTCCTGGCTGCATCTCTGGCTCTGTCGGGGGCACGAAGGTCCACACCATGCGCGGCTGACGAGGGACCTCAGGGACCAGACGTCGAGAGCCGGGGATGGCCAGCCCCGTGGCCCCGGTGTGGCTCTGTATCTGGTGGGGCCTGCTGGCTGGGCAGGCCTGGGGCATGAATTACCCTCCCAGGTACAGCCTATACACGGGGGCTGGCCTGCCGTACACGCAGCTCCAAGGCGCGTCCCAAGCACCCAACGGGGCACGGGTGGCCAGCCGCCACAGGTAAGTGAGTCGGCAGGGCAATGTGGTGGGGTGGCTGGGCTAGGAGTGCGGGCCACGTCAGGGGGAAAACGGGAGGGTTGAGACCAGGGTATCCAATTATCTGGACATCCACGAGAAAGAGCGAACGAGCACTGGAAGGTGTAGGCCAGGAACCCAGGATCAAAAGCCCACTGTGGCAAATCCTAATAAGAGCAGGAGAGCCAGCTGCCGCGGCTAGTGAGGAAATGGGGGGCATAGGAGGGTTGCCATTTGCTTCTCTGCTTATGCTAAGTCGTTTAAATATATGCAAGTTTAAAACTGTTCATTCCTTAAAATGGAGTTTTAAAAGGTCCAGTCTCGTTAAAAGCGGGAGGAGGGGGTTAAATCTTAAACCTGGAAATCACGACAGATCACCTGGAATGGATATCTGGACTCCTGCTTTATTCACATGCTGGGGTATTGGGAGGGTATATGGGTCCAAGGGTTGTCATGGCAACAGGTCCCTCTGCTAAGAGAAGGGATTAGGCCTGTGTGGTTTAAGGCCTGTCCTTGTGCCGTCCTCCATGAGTTGGAATATCTGCCCATCTCTCATCCCCTCCCTTGATTTTAACTGTTTTGGGGTTTGTGGGACATTCACAAAATCAGGAGCTCTCCCTCTCTCTATCTCTCTCTGTCCGTGTCCGGGATGCAGGACTGTGTGGGCCTGGTTGACTCAGGGCATGAGTTAATTATTGACTGATTGATTTGATTAAATTTTTACCCCACCCTTCCCACAAGTGGTCTCTGGGCGGGTTCCAATATTAGGATAAAACAATAAAATCAGATAAAACTATAAAATTAGGGGACTGTCGGCAGTGGGGCTAGGACTGAGGAAGTGTGGCTCTCTGTGCCTTATGTGGGCTGGTACCGAATCAGTAAGGTTTCCGGGACATCAGATGGGATTTTTAGACTGTGAGCAAGGAGAAGAGAAGGCAGTTGGATGTGTGTGTGGGGGAGACTTTTTGTGGAAACTGCGAGGGGGGTTTTAACTTATAGCTGGGCGTATCAGAATCATTTGTTGGTGGAATAGGGGAGAAACAGAAGAAAGCAGAAATGGAGGCTGATGGGGTTTGGATGGATGCCAGGCCTGGGGTAGAGGAAGGGAGGCCCAGGAAGTGGTTTGTCATCCAAACGGGGAGGGTGGCACATTGGAAGTCTGTCTCTCTGAGCTGCAGCGACATCAGCAGCAACATTACCTTGCGATGGGGGAAAGAAAGGGCTCAGGGGAACAGCCTGAACCAAAAACAGTGACGTGAGGTGGTCCATGACATGGGGGGTGGAAGCGACCTAGGAAGGAGGCTTCCCCCCCCCCCCCCCCCCTTTTTTTATACACCCCCCCCCACCAGTCGCGGTTTTGCTTTTTTTTTTTTAATAGGCTCCCTACTTGATTTGATGGATAGGCCTCTTTTCAGCCACAGTCCCACTCCTACCAGCAGCTTTCAAAAACAATTAAAATCTCCAACTGTCATTAGCCAGGGGGAAAAAAATGATACTCTGAAAAGAATCCATGCACAAGTTTAAAATAGCAGCTGGAATAAAAATAGAACTCAGATCTTAAAACCTTGTCAAGCTGATGTGTTTTTAAACGGTGTACCTGGAATTTCCAGTGGAACACAGCCCTGTTTACTGCGATCACAAAGGGCTGTGTTTTAAAGATCTGTAATGAGAGAGAGGCGCATGCCAGTCTGAATTTTGTTTGGGAATGCCCCACCCTCCATTTAGAAACCCAGATGTGTTTGGGTTGGAGGGGGGAGCAGCTTATGAAGAGCCAGTGCTGTGGGAAAGACACACTGCACATGCTCAGAGGTTGCCCTCTGTTATCTCGGATGTTCCAGAGCTGAGCAGACTAAAAAAAACCAAATTTGGGCTGATCCCTGGGATTTCCTGTGCAACTGGGGAGGTTAGGAGGTGAATAGGGCAATGATTAACCTGTTGGGGAGGCTTATTTGCTAGCTCAGACCAGTCTCAACCAGGAATGGCTGGAGGCGGCTTTGGACTGGCTTGTTCCCAGCTGTGGCCTCCTGACCGAGTTATGCCTTGATCAAAGGTCCCTGGACCCCATGGGAAACCAGCTAGGCAGAGATGAAAGGGATTTCCTGACACAGCCACACCAGGGCCACCAGCACTGAGCTGTGACCAACCACTACTGGTGTGGGGAGCAGAAGTTGCCAACAGCATCAGGAATGTCCTTTGCAGAGTTCAGTGCCTACCAGTGTTCCCTCTAAGCTGAGTTAGTGTGAGCTAGTTCACAGTTTTTCAGCCTCCAGCTCACACATTTTTGTCTTAGCTCAGGAAGGGTGGCCCCAGAGCAAACTAATTTATGCAGTAGCCAAATCACCTGCTCACAACTTTAATGCTGGTAGCTCACAAAGTAGAATGTTTGCTCACAGGACTCCACAGCTTAGAGGGAGCACTGGTGCCTACCCATGTTTTTTTAAAAAAACTACCATCCATTTCAAAAAAAGAAAAATTAAGGGGGAATGGCCCTATGGCATTACTTTTGTTGTGGTGCCCTGAAAAACTGATGTGGGCAACCCACCTTGCTTTCATCTGTGTGGCAGGGCTTTCTGAGCCGCTCAAAGTCTTCTTAGGCTAAGATTACAGGAAGATGTACTAGGGCAATAGAATTAAAACATTCTCAAAACAGCAATAGTATAATATCTTTTGTTAAGGCCAGCAAATACAGTAGGATGTTTTAGTTGGTCCTTAAAAAGGGTATAACATCATTGTTGCTTGGGGTTTCCTCTTAGGCCACTGCCAACTTAAATAGTCAGTTTCCCAAAGACTAGCAGTGAGCACACCTTAAAGGCTTAAGCCCTTTCTGGCATCTTATGTTACTAGAGAAAAGTGAAAACCTGATACCTTCGGAGATCCAGCACAACCGAAATTTATCTTGGTTCAGAATTATTTTCTCCCCCCGCATTCGATTAATAAAGCAAGCAAGAACTTTACTGAATCATTATCAGGAGGTGATCTGGAAAGGAGGTGAGACCAAAAGGGTCTCTCAGGCACCAAAACAGAATTTTTAATCTTGACAGATGGTTCCTAATTCTCTAAGTATTAGGGTGATGCCAGGAAGTAGTTAGTAAGATAATAGAAAGCGGTTTGAGAAGGGCATTACTTTCCAGGGTGTGCAAACGCATTCTGTTTAAACAGAATTTTGTAGCACCTTAGAGAATAATTTATTAGGCACACATTTTTGCAGCCTGGAGCCCACCAAAGCTGAAAGCATCACAATTCAAAGTTAAGATGCTATAGGACTCTAGTCTTTGGTCGTATTTAAACACTGCAAACATACCAGAGTTTGTGATGAGGATGAACCTTTTTCAAGCTCTGCAGTCCCTTCATCCTCCCTGAGTTGTCCTGGTTTAGGAAGTTTCAGGGTAGCCGGTGTTGGTCTGCAGCAGAAAAGTCCAGTAGCACCTTAAGAGACCAACAAGGTCTGGCAAAGGGAGCTTTGACTCTCAAAAGCTTATTCCTTGATAATCTTATTGGTCTCTCGCTCGAATTTAGCTGGTTTAGGCACTCTTTAGTCTAACCACAGTTTGTTGTTACATCTGAATTCCAGCACTGTAATAAATCAGGGTTTGTTGCACTTCTAAACCCCAATGTGATTCAGATTCCCCTTCAGACATCACAACAAACTGTGGTTGGATTGAAACCTTTTAAAACCAGGAAGTTTTCAATCCTGACTTGAAAAGGAATTGGGAGGGGGCGCACTTTGTTCTTTACAACTGAATAATAACCCACATTGTTTATTTCTGTACCAGTATTTCTTTTTGCCTCCTTGTCACTTCTGGCCAAACAGGCATTGCAGGTTTAGAGGTCAATATAGGAACCTGCCATACCTGTTTGACTAGGAAATAAAAGTGAGATGGGGGCAAAAACCACAGTGATTCTCTTTCAGACAGCCTTTAGTTCTCTAAAAAAACCCTGTCTATCCCCAGCCTACCAAGAACCATGTGACTCTTAACAGATCTTTCTTCCTCATGTGCAGGCTTGCAGTTGCCTTCAAGGCTATACTGATACAAAAGAGTTGGACCCCTGTTGAAGAAACTGCCTTTCCCCCTCTATGGAGGGCCCAGCCTTTGCCTATAGACAGATCCCCTTCATTCATTGGCTGTAGCTCCTCCCATGAAGGTGTCTCGGTGATACTTTTTTTTGCTAAAAAGTGAGGAGCGGGGATTCCCAGCCAGGACTCTGGGTTCATGACATCATTTTTTTCCCCTCACAGGAAGAAATGGATCATACAGTTGTAATGAGTCACTGATGAGGCCACTGAGATGCAAAAGGCTGCATTCTTATGTGATTATTTTAAACTGGGATGCGATAAAAGGGAAGACAGGAACACTCCACTTCCAAGAAGTTTGGCCTGGCTGCGGTTCTGGACCTTACTTACAGCAAAGAATGCTATAAAGAAAGACAGGATTTGGGGTGAGGCAGGGAGTTTTTACAAGGAACTGCTGGTGTTCTCTCCAGCAGCCCAGCTTTGGAACTGGCCTTCTTGATTGCCAGACTCTTAATGCGGTGGCACATCAAGCAACTAGGAAGGCACAGAAGTGTTTGGGGACCAGAAATGAATTGTTGACACCAGCACGGGGCAATGCTAGATCTGTTTTCTTGGTGCTTGAGTAGTTGTGTCAGCCTCTGTGCGATAACCCTTTAGCCTGAGGTCAAACTTTGAACAACAGAAGTAACAGGGCTTCTCCCTGCCTCAGAACAACAGCTTTGCATCTGGAAGTTCAGCCCCCTACCCTGTCATGGTAGGGGTTGCAGAACAGACCCTATAGACCAGGGGTGTCAAACATAAGACCCGGGGGCGAGAACCGGCCCGTTCAGGGCTCTTATGTCGCCTGTGAGAGGCTGGTGCAAGGGAAGGAACATAAGACTGCTCGAGGAGGGGAGTGGGTAGAGCCCCTCCAAGTGTGGCTTCGGCATGGCGGAACAACTTCGTCTGCAGCAGCCAAGCAGCGTGGGAGTGTCTTGCCCAGTGCTGCACCGCTGGCTCTCCAGGCCGCCCATGTGGGTTTTCCTTTGCGCACACACACACACACACACACACACACACACCCCTCATCCCATGGGGCCTTGCAGTGAGAATACACCAACTTGGAGCTTACCGGCTGCTGCCCTTTATACGGTTTATATCTCTGGTACCTGGCATTCTGTTTTATGGCACACGTGGCCTGGCCCTACAAAGTGACATTTATGTCAGATCTGGCCTTTGTAACAAATGAGTTCGACATCTCTGCCAGATGCTCAGAGGAACTCTCAGAGGGTTGAACTTTAACATGCTCTGGAGCCAAGCCCCGGCTGCTTTTCATCTCAGCCTCCAACATTGTGTGCCTCCTACGTGACCTTGAGTCTGGGTATCTCCAGGGCTTGGAAACCGGAAAAGGGTGGGACGCTGGACTCGGTTTCTGTGTGCCCGAGCAGCAGGATGGGCCTGGCTCAGTGGCAGAGCGTCTGTTTTGCATGCAGAAAGTCCCAGGTCCAATCCTGCCATCTTCGGTTCAAAGGATTTGGTAGTTAGTAATGTGGAAGATTCTGCCTGAGAGCCTCCTGGAGAGCCACTGCCAGCCCGAATGGGCAATTCTGACCTTGATAGATAAGTGGCCTAACTCGGCAGCTTCTCCTGTGTTCAAGCAAGGCTACCTTGTCCACAAACCAGTCTCTGCTTCAACTACATGTTATTCTCTCCCTCCCTTGAAGGAACTGGTGTGCCTACGTGGTGACACGTAGCGTGAGCTGCGTGGTGGAGGACGGTGTCGACACCTACGTGAAGCCGGACTACCAGCCATGTGTCTGGGGGCAACTCCAGTGTCCCCGTGCTGTCACGTGAGTATGGGGTAGGCAGAAGAAAGGGGCCTGGGTGCTAACGTGGGATGCCGTCCTGTAAAAACACAAGAGCAAGCAGGATTGGAGCCACACTGGGCTGGATCGAAGTATGTCAACAGAGGGCACCGGCAGGGCAGTGGAGGGTGATTGCCATACTACAGGGATGTGGGGGCATTGCTGCAAGCTGCCCGGCTGGGCTGGGTGGGGCTCGGGGTCACGACCTCCGTGGGCAGCCAAGGAGGAGAGGCTGGATGCCTGTGGCTTCTGCCTGGCACGTGCCCAGACCATTAGCTGAACTGCTTCTGGGAAGATGCAGGAACCAGCTGGGCCGTGCCTGGGGGGGAAGGGACCGGCTTCCCCCTGGTGGGGATCACCAGCACTGCAAGAGCTGCCGGTGACCAGCGGGTGAGAGGCACTTCTGGTCTTCTCCACGGTGCTGATTCTGTAAGAGGAGGACAAGGCTTTGAGGACGGGTTCTGCGCTGCGATCCCGAGATGCTGGAGTCATCTTTTCAGGTGGCTTAGAGCCTGTTCGTTTTAATTTTAGCTGTTCTGCCTGGTCAACAATTATTGACCAGAAAATCATGGGAGGCCAGTTTAAGAAGGGACTACAGAGGGCTAAACTGCTTTCCCCGGGCAAGTGGCAAAGTCCAGTCCATCCGAGACAGATTCTTCAGGTTAACTATTGTGGAGCCATGAGTGCAGGGAATAAGACTGCAGGAGAGAGGCTGCAGTTGGGTGTTTATGACTACTTCTGTGCTTTCCAACATCTAGTTCAGTGTTTTTTGTTTGGGATCAGGGCCATGTGACCTGGATGGCCCAGGCTAGCCTGATCTCATTGAATCCGGAGAGCTAAGCAGGGTCAGCCCTGGTTAGTACTTTGATGGGAGGCCACCGAGGGAGTCCAAGGTTGCTCCTGCAGAGGCAGGCAAAGGCAAACTACACCAGCCTGAAGGTCTCTTGCCTTGAAAGCCCCAAGGGGTGGCCATAAAGTCAGCTGCGACATGACGGCACTTGAAACACACACACGCAAGGCCAGTTCACCCAATCGAGCGGGAAAGCCCCATCCAGCCTCATTTGCCCCCCCCCCATGCACAAATACAAGATGCTTCCTGTTCTTCCACCTGGCAGGTACCGGAGTTTCATGCGCCCCCGCTACAAGGTGGCCTACAAAACAGTGTCGGACATGGAGTGGCGTTGCTGCCCTGGTTACACGGGGGACGACTGTGCCGAAGGGGGGACACCGCTCACCACCACCCGACCACGACCGCAGCCCAGCCGACCCAACCTGTCCGGCTTCAGCAACACGCTCAGTGGCTTGGGCGGAGAAGGTACTGTGGAAAGGGCATGAAGGGAGAAATGCCCTCTGCCCCCAGCATCTGCAGCCCCTTGTGCTCCAGTTCTGCACCCTCTGTAGCTCTTCCTACCCCGGGTAGTAGTAGAAGGAGTGGGGAGAAGGCCTGTGTGCAGGCCCATGAACTCAGGAGATCCACTGGGCTGCCAGGATGGGGGATGGGCACGGAAGGTAGAAGCACAGCCGGGTACTGCCCCTTCTGAGACTGAGTCTTCGGTGTCCATCTTTGCAAGTGCCCATTCACAGCTTGCCTTACCCAGTTTTGGTCCTCACCAGCTTCTCACTCACTCTTAGCTCCCATCTACCAGGCTGCAAATTCTCCCTGTGACGAGAGGCACTCACACTTCTTGCCCCTAACGGGCCTGTGGGAAGAAGGGGATCAAGTGCAAAGGGGGATGGGGGTGGGGGGTCTTTAGCAGTTGTAGAAGAGAAAGAGATTGGATTTATACCCCGCCCTTCACTACCCAAAGGTGTCTCAGAGCGGCTTACAAACTCCTTTCCCTTCCCCTCCCCCCAACAGGCACCCTGTGAGGTAGGTGGGGCTGAGAGAACTCTCTCGAGAACTGCTCTTTTTCAAGGACAGCTCTTATCAGAACCATGGCTTGCCCAAGGTCATCCAGCCAGGTGCAAGTGGAGGATTGGGGAATCAAACCTGGTTCTCCCAGATTAGAGTCCGCGCACTTAACCACTACACCAAACTGGTGTAAAGGAAAGGGAGTGTCACGTGGCTGCCCCCACCCCACAAAAAGCGCTTTTAATCCTGATAGAGTGGTCTCTTCTGCACAGCCCACAACGGGAAAGCAGCTGCCCTCCCATCCTTTATTCATTTATTTTAATTTTCTTCATTTGTATCCCGCCTTTCTCTCCCATCGGGACCCACAGCAGCTTACACCACTCACCCCTTCTCCGTTTTATCCTCACACCAACCCACGATCACCCAGCAAGCTCGTTCCGTGGCAGACCGGGGTGGGTGCTTGGGTTTGGGGTTCTAACCTGAGTCTTCCAAATCCTAGTGCGATGCTCTTAACCACTCCCCCGCAGTCAATTGCATCTGACCAGCCTAAAACGTTGGTAGTGCATAAGGGCCAGAAATTTAGGCTTCAGGCACAGTTGCTGGTGTCATTGTGGGGATGGTGTGAACAAATACCGGCAATTTCAGATTTAACAGTGATGGGAGAACCACAATTAATCCACCTCCTGGGAGGCTACCCAGGACATCTGGGGCTGCTGCACAGAGGCGGGCAAACGGCCTCCATTCATCTTTTAGCTTGAGAGCCCCACAGAGAGTCATTGTAGGCCAGCTGCCGCTTGACAGCCCTTTCCACCAGCGCCGGCACCCCGTGCGTGCGGCTTCTAATCTCTTCTTATTTCCTCCTGCTAGGGCAAAGGGACTCCGAGAAGGTGCAGCAGCTGGAGGAGAAAGTGCAAAGCCTCACCAAGCAATTGCATGACCTGCAGTCCACCATACAGGCCAGCAACACCAAGCTAGCGGAAGACATACGCAAGGCGGTAGAGTCCTCTTTGAATGGCAAGCAGCCCGCTGACGCGGCCGCGCATCCAGAGATGAAAGAGACCCTCAACGAGATCCAGCGTCATCTGCAGCGCCTCGACAACCGCATCTCCAACCACGAGAACGGTCAGAGCCCCGGAGGCGGCGCAACAGATGTCCGCGGTGAGGTCCTCAGGGAGGTGGAACGGCGCTTGCAGGAGTCGTGCGCGTCCTGCCTTACGGGTGTGGAGGGACTGCGGCGGCAGCAGGAGGAGGACCGCGAGCGCATGAGAGCCCTGGAGAAGCTGGTCACGTCCATGGACCAGCGGAACCGCGAAGCCATGAACGCCATCCAGCAGCACGTGAGCAACCTTGCTCGGCAGCTGCCCAAGGACTG